AAGAAGAGCAGCCTGTAGATGTAACGGAACCACAATCCCAGGTGCTTACCAGTCCCCCCAATCCTCCAGAGACTGCAGCTGCTATTGCCGTTTCATCTGAATGAGGACAGCCAATAACAAGCCCTCCTTTAGGGCCCCCATCAACTTTCTGAAAAGCTTGGCACACACTAGGCAAAGTATTGGCTTATACTCATGGGCGTCATGTTGGGGAACTCTGCTACAGCTGTATACCCCCCCCAAACTGGCATAAAGCCTGATGGTAGTTGTGTTATGAATGGTAGATGGGGGGGGGGTGCTGGAGGCCTGAAAATCCACACCTCCTTCACTCAGTTACCAAACCTGCTCTGAGTCCGACCTTTCTAGAAGTATTATACCAAAGCAGGATTAGGAAAACATGCAACAAGGTGGCAAAAAAACCCAGAAAGGGGATGATTTTATGAATGATAATGTGTGGAAGCAATTGGGTTTTTTTGAAAAAAAATATCAGTGGAGTTTAGGGGAACATGGTTCAAGAATTCTGCATGGCAACCTAAATTGGCTGTTAGTCTTCTGCTCATTAACCCACGGGATGCTCTGCAAGGTAAGTACACAAATATTATGTCAAATTCTGGAGAACGCCTGTTAGGCTCTCCAGAGTGTTTGTTTTGACCTACGCAGACCAAAGCTACCAAAAAGCCAGTTTGGTGTATTGGTTAAGAGTGGCAGAGTCTACTCTGGAGAACCGGGTTTGATTCCCCACTCTTCCACAAGCAGCCAGCTGGGTGACCTTGGGTCAGTCACAGTTCTCTTCAGAGCAGTTCCCTCTGAGCTCTCTCAGCCCCACCTACCTCACAGGGTGTCTGTTGTAGGGAGAGGAAGGGAAGGAGAGTAAGCCACTCCGAGTGAAGGGCAGGGTATAAATCCAATCTCTTCTTCTTCTCCCTGTTCAACTTTACTTTTGTGGAGCACTGGGCTTTGACAGATGCTTCGTGGAGTTTTTCAATGGCCATGTGAGAGGTTAAATGTTTGTTCTGTATTTCTGGTTTTTAAAATGCTGGACCTAACCCAAGACAGAAATTTTAGTACGTAGGTTACTTCTCCATGGTTTTTAAATATACGTATATGTTTACTGTGCATTTCAAAATGTGTTTATCTTCATCTCTAAGACAAGAATACTTGTGTACCTTAGTATACATTCACAGCAAGGTTGGCTGGAATGAAGTCCCTCTTGCAAGGGGAAATGTGTACTCCCTCCGTCAGCCTCTCCTTCCTTACAACCAGTTTCCGGCCCGCCCCCCCCCGCAGACGGGCCAGGAAAGCCCTGCAGGGCCCCCCCCCCCGCTGCCTGTGGGGATTTAAATGCCATTCTTTCCCTTCCCCATCCCTTTCCCCTTCCCCATTCCCCTAGGTGCCCCGCAGGCAGATCAGGCAGGGAACCCAGGCATGCTTGCATGCCCGCCCTTTGTTAGGGGGTGTGGCATATGCAAATGAGATGTGCAAATGAGCTCCTGCTCTTTTTCTACGAAATGATCCCTGCTTACAACTCTGCAAGAAAGACGCCCCCTGCCAGGCTTCACAGGAGTTTCCATGCACGTTCAAAGCTTCCTCTGGACCTCACTCCAGCTCCAGGACTCCCATTAAGTCATTCCCACGGATTTCGCCCGCTAGGCCCTGAGCACTGAACCACACATACAGGCCAGTCCCTTTCCAATCCAAGGTGTCTGGCTTGCACACAATGTGTTTTCTTCAAGGAGACTCTTCACATTGGCTTCAGGCTGTGGTTAACAGGGTCCTTTCCTCAGGGATGATGTGATATGCATTGAGGAATGGTTTTCAGGTTCCTAGAAAAGGCACCCGTTGAGGAAGAAGGAATGGAACATTGTTTTATCAGAATATGCACCTAGGCTGCAGAATTCTCTAGTCCTGTCAGCAGAGGCGTGTCCTAGAACGGCTCCAGTGGGTTCTACTTTACAAACCCCACCAGCAGGCAGATGGCTGTTAAGGCTCTCTCTTCAAAGCCTTCTTTCTCCCCCTTCTCCCAAACTCCTCTCAGGACTCTCAGATTCTTCAGACAGTGCAGAAAATATTCCATTACTTGGTGGTTTGACCAGCTATTCAAATTTGGAAAGCCAGGAGAACTGTCCAAATCAGCCCCACCTGCTCCACCTGTGTTTTTCATATTCCGTTTTGCCTTAGACTATTAGTGGGTTGGATCCCGTGGTTCCGTTCCACTAGCAGGACTGCTTTCCTCAGTCAAGAGGAGTCTTCCCCCTTGATGCAAGAGGCTCCTGCCATTAGAGGGAACCAGCTCTGCTAGCAGAGCAGATCCATGCCAACCCAATTCCAAGCAATGGCCATGCATATCACACACAATGAAAAAGGAAAGAAATAAATGCACTTCATGAATTGGCAAACACAGGCTTCCAAAAAGTGAAAAGTGGTTGTGTATTTATTTTAAAGACATTTTTGTCTTGTGTTTCTCCACAAGGAACCCATGTACGAAACCTTTCTGATGTCAGTCAAGGTCAGGAACACTTTCCTGAGGTTAAGGCAGAGAGGCTTTGGCACCCTCTAGTGGCTGTCTAAAGGAATGAACTCCTGCTTCTTCAAATGCGTCTCAACCGAAGTCATATCACCAGCTGGCTGATGCTCCAGAGATGCTTGATTAACTCCACCGTTATGGCTACAATTTACTTGCAAATCAAAAACAGAACTCTTGAGCAATGGAAACGTTTGAAATAAAACCTGAAATAACCCCCTGCTTTCTGCTTGCCATGAAAAGTTTGTCATCTTGGAGCCATTTAAACCCGCTTTCTGCTCTTCACAAACTACGACAAACTGCATAAAAATTTGTGGAAGTTCATGGCGGCTCTTCAGTTCACAAACATTGCTTCACAAACCATGAGCCGGCCAAAATTCATGATGAACCTTACTTTGTCAGCTGGTTTGTGCCCATCCCTAATTTTTAGGAAGAACAAGAGATGATTCTAACACAAGCTAAGTTCTGTTATAGTAAATTTTAGGTGGCAAATCATAGTGAGTGTGGTACCCCCTGTGGGCTGCCCCTGCTTAAAGAGGCTTTATGCACAATGCCCAGTCCAAAGGATCATCTGCTCTTAAGTACAGCTGTCACCACGGGGTGAACAATCCTGGCCATAAATAACACCCACCAAGGGAAGCACATCCACAATTCACAACTATATGTGCTCAAAACTGCATATTGCATTCACTGAAATAGAAAGAAGGGTTAGTGGTCATCATAACCCAATAGAATGTATAGGCATTTATCCAACAGATTTTTCATAAGAATTAAGCATATTTTACAAATTCCATACCTAGGTATTGTCCATAGACCTACTGTTGGTTTTGAACGTGTTCTTTTTGTAAAATATGCTTAAATGTTATGAGCAATCTGTTGGACAAATGCCTATACAAATGTTCCCTCTAAGCTGTGGAGTCTTATGAGCAAAAATTCTACTTTGTGAGCTCCTGGCATTAAAGTTGCGAGCGAGCGATTTGGCTACTGCATAAATTAGTTTGCTCTGGCACCATCCTTCCTGAGCTACGACAAAAATGTGTGAGCCGGAGGCTAAAAAACTGTGAGCTAGCTCACACTAACTCAGCTTAGAGGGAACACTGGACTTATGACCACTAACCCTTCTGTGTATTTCAATGAATGCAATATACAGTTTTGAGCACACATAGTTGTGAATTGTGGATGGTCTTCCCTTGGTGGGTGTTATTTATGGCTATACTGGTATGCTAAGAGTTCTCTATTGTCTTTGTCAAAACAATTCTGAGCAGCTGGAGACAGACCGATCCACCCACTCTTCTCTGCTCCAGGAGATAAGTGGTTAGTTCCTTGTCTCCAGTGGGATAACTGCCTCCTCAATCTTCCTTCTAACATTAAGTAGCACAAATCGAGCGGCCTGAGCCCTTGGGGAAGCACAGCGTAAAGACATCTCTCAGGGCTGAAAAGCAATTTTTAAAAGTTTATTCTGAGCACATATAGACAGACAAATGAGGGGAAGCGGAGGAGGGAAAGACAGAACTTAGGAAACCAAACAAAAAAGTCATTTCTAGCTAATTCTCAACTTACGAGGATTCTCTGGTCTTCACACCTTCCTTGTAGGTAGGCTGAGCATTCTAAAGTTTGTAGCTGAAATTTAGAGGGGAAAAACCCTCCAACCTTGGTAGTGCTTATTCCCTGGGGGGTGGGGGAGTCATCTCTGACCATGCCGAAAGTGGGGGAGCTTACTGAAACATTCCATCCCAAAAGCTCCAGGCCAAATAACTGTTTCCCCAGGATCCTGTGAGGTTTGCACTTTCCACTTTTTTGGAGAGGGTGACATTTGCAGAGCTAGAAGCAGAGTGGAAGATGGCAAAGATCTCTTTGTCAGTTTGGTGTAGTGGTTAAGAGCAGCAGAATCTAAACTGGAGAATTGGGTTTGATTCCCCACTCCTCAGCATGGAGCCAGCTGGGTGACCTTGGGTCAGTCACAAGTTCTCTCAGAGTTGTTCTCTCAAGAGCAGTTCTCGCAAAGCTCTCGGAAGCCCCACCTACCTCACAGAGTGTCTGTTGTGGGAAGAGGAAGGGGATTGTAAACCTCTCTGAGACTCCAAGCGAAGGGCGCGGTATATATCCAGTCTCTTTTTCTTCTTCTTCTCTTGGGGAGAGGGGTCAGATGGGGGAGGTGAATCTCCGTCCAGTGGGCCCTCATCCTTAGCACCGTTGGTGGTCAGCAGATTCTCAAGAGGAAGGCTGAAGTTTCAGATATCATAGCCAGCACACCACTGCTAGACCTGCCCTCCACCGATGGATCTTCACCTTTTTACAAAGTTATCTGTGGCTTCCCCCCTCCCACAACATTCATCGGGAAATGAAACTGCATCCCTTTACTGCAAAAATCACTGCACAAAGTTTTTGTTTACCTGCTGCGCCCTCTGCCTTTAGGGGGGGGGGCTGCTCTCCTTTAGGGGCCCAACAGCTTCTCAGAATCTTTTTATTTTTATCATCATCATCGTATGACAGTATGTGTTGTATAGCCAGGAGACTGGAGGTTTGGCTGGCAGCAAAGTTCGAACTCTTTAGAGTTATGGACCACTAGGTGGCAAGCTAGACTTCTTGGTGGGTTGAGAGAGGTCTGAGAGAACTGTGACTGATCCAAGGTCACCCATCTGGCTTCATGTGAAGGAGAATCGAGCCTGGTCCTCTGGATTAGAGTCCTGCCGCTCTTAACACCAAGCTGGCTCACACTACAAAGCAATATAAGAATGCACATAGGTAAATAAAACAAACATGGAAAACACTGATCCAGTAGCCTGCACTCCAAACTCATCTCTGTTGCAGCAAAAACGAAATAACAGAGTCTTGTGCACTTCTGTGACGGTAAGTCAAGCGATAGCTGCAAACATTCAAGCCAGCAGCTAACACAAACCCAGCTTTGGTAGCCTAGCAAGTGGCAGATAAAAAACACCAGACAGTGGGCTGGATCCTGCAGGTCCATTCTGCTCGCTGCCAGCAGAAGGAACCACCCCCCAACTAGCTACTGAGCCTCTATTTTCTTTTTCTTTTGAGACTTTTGCAACAGGGAAAAGCTTATTCTGCCAGAGGAGAACAGATCCATGGGGCCCAACCAATATAAGCCCTCTGTTTGGGAAGTCTCGTGTTTATGCCACATTAATAAGGTACTTTACTGATGTTTTCAGAACAAGAGATTCCATTTTCTCATTACCAAGCAGGATCTACGCATACAGCACCGTGATTGCTCAGGGGCCGCTTTAGGCTTCGTTCTTGCCTTTTAAGGGATGGCAGCAGCTCACAGAACAGCATTTCCCCATAGCCACCCCTGAATATATTTATTAGGATCTAGTGAGGAAGGGGAGGAGGTTCACGGAAGGATGAAGTGTTAACTTAAGAGTTTAAAATCCATGATAACATCTCCAGTCTTGGGATTGAAGCTGATGGTGTAAGCAACCGCAGAGGGGCAGCCGGGGAGAGTCTCTGGCGCAGAAACGGTGCTGAAGAAATACACGGCTTGTTTGCAGTGGGGAGTCCACTGACAGTAGCCCTGCGGGAAAGAACCAAGAGGAAGAACATCAGCCCCAGAGGTGAACATCTGAACTCTGACAGCCAAGTACTTTGCTTTGGAAAACAAACATGCCGAGTCATACAGGGGGTTGGGATCAACAAGCCCCCCCCCCCTTCCGGGTCTCGGCCAATTCTGCTCCATTTTACAAGGCCTGAGATTTTGTCCATGAATGGTCTTTTCGATGGTCGCACCCTTTTTCACGAATGGAAAAGCTGGCTGGATCCAAGGCGAGGAATGTATTACGCTGATAGGCTGAGATTGTTCTTCTATTTCGCAGGCAGCTTCTTAGTCCTCCGGAACGGGGGAGAAATGGAGGAAATCGCTTCTGGATTGCAGTCCTCCAAGGCTGTTGGTTCTATGCAGAGACTGACTCGGGAGTAACTGCAGCTTGGTGAACCAAACCGGCAGCACGATAAGATGGCAGAGTGGCTTGTGCCACTTAAGGGTCCACGGAAGGGGAGTCACATTTCAAAAGGCTTCCCAATGTGAAAACTCCCCACAATTATTTTTTTGGACAAATTCTGCATATTAGGGAGAACAGTTTCTTTGCATGCTGGGCTGGTTTCCCCACTTTCCAGCAATGTTTCACGCAGAGAAACCTTGACCAAAGTAATCCCATCATCCAAAGTGGTATAATCCGTTCACTGTGCTGATGGACCAGGCCACTTGGTATACATGCAGAGGATTGGGCTGTAAGAATCACAACATTCCCAACGAATGTGCCAAAATAGGAAAACGCTTTCCCTTGGGCCTGGCACAAATATGTTTTACATTGTGGGTTGTATTCTGCAGATCTGTTCCCCTACCAGAGGCACTTCTCTTTCTTTGGTGGAAAGTGTCTTTCCCCTTATTTGTCAGGGGAACACTCCTGCCAACAGTGGGAAGTCCCTCTGCTAGCACAACTGTGGGATCCAAGCCAGTATACTTTACGCAAAAATAGAACACACAAGTGAACTCTATGTTGCACCCTTCAAGCACGTATTTCCCACATAAATGATATAAACAAAGATTTATTCAAACAAACTGCTAACTAACTCTGAAAAAGCAAAACCATGAAATAGACCAGAGCAGGGTACAAGGATGTTGCTCTGTTGCAATTTAACATTCTGCTTTACTTTCTTTGGAGGACAGATGAAACAGAATTAAGCAAATACCTTTTCATCTGAAACCTTCACGAGCCCTGTGCTAACCGAAAGGCTGGAAGTCAGATTATATTCCATCCAAAGAACAGCTCCGTGACTCTTTCCAGTCCTGGAAGGAAAGAACCACAAGAATTGATTTTCTGCAAACTTAAAAGAACATGTACAATATGCAGAGCACAAATTCTTTTGAAATATGAACAGTATTTCAAATATGAATAATATTTTCCTTTGTCAGCAGCCTGGGACGAGCAGATGAAAAGAATGAGAATGCCACTCTGGAGGAGCCTGAAGCCTTGGGGGGAAATCATCACCTGGCTGGCAGGAACCAACAGGATGCCCACAAGGACAAGTTAACCGAACATCTAAAAGAGAAGCCAGGCTGAAGAAGTGTGAAAAAGCACTCTTTAGTATAAACAAAGCGGAAAATGGCCGGCGTCCGAGGGAAAGGAGTAAGAGTGGGGCGTGGCTCTCAAAGTCCGAGAGTGGAGGAAGGAGATGTTTTCTCCACACTAACAGAGCTGATAAAAGAGAAGCCAGGCGATGCTGCATGGTGGCTTGAGTGCCACACCTGGGTTCAGATCCTCGCTTGGACCACGGAGCGCCCTCGGTGAGGATGGGCCAGCATCAATCACTCATGCTCAGCCTCACCAACCTTGCAAGACTGTTGAGACAGAAATAAATCTGGATCTCCTTATCCATGGAGGCCACCCTGAGTTGCTTGGAAGGAGGGTGAGGCATATGTGTAAAGAATCAGTGGAAAGTGGTTATATTGTATATTCCAGACTGCTAAAAGTGGTTTACTGTACGAGTTCAATTGCAGGGACCTAGCTTGTTTAGCGTGGAGCTGCAGTGGCTCAAGTGGTTAAGACGCTGAACTGCAGGCTGTGGAAGGTTGGTAGTTCAGCAGTTCGAGACCCGAGTGTGCCGCATGACAGAGTGAGCTCCCGTCTCTAGTTCCAGCTCCTGCCAACCTAGCAGTTTGAAAGCAAGAAATTGCAAGTAGATAAATAGGTACCACTACAGTGGGAAGGTAACAGCATTCCGTGCGCCTTGGTGTTTAGTCATGCCAGCCACATGACCACGGAAATGTCTTCGGACAGCGCTGGCTCTTCGGCTTTGAAACGGAAATGAGCACCGCAACCCTAGAGTCGGATTTGACTGGCTTTCGAGCAAGGGAATCTTTACCTTTACCTTTTTAGCTTGTTTAGCACTCTTTTTTTTTTTTTTTAATGTCCTCTAGATTACTTCAGGTGTGGTTCTACTTTTTGGGACATGCCAGAGGCTCTAAGAGACTTTTTAATTTTTAATTGATTTCTATTTCATTTATACCCTGCCTGTCTCCCCAAAGAGGACCCAAACTGGCTTACTTCATTCTCCTCTCTTCCAGTTTATCCTCAGAACAGCCCTGTGAGGTAGGCTAGGCTGAGAGCATGTGATTGGCCCAAGGTCCCCCAGGAAGAGTCGGCATTTGAACCTGGCTCTTCCAGATCCTAGTCTGAGCCAGTTTGGTGTAGTGGTGTAGTGTAGTAGAGCACGGACTCTAATCTGGGAGAACTGGGTTTGATTCCCCACTCCTCCACTTGCACCAGGCTAGATGACCTTGGGCAAGCCGTAGTTCTGGCACAGCTGTTCTTGAAAAAGAGCAGTTTGTGTCAGAGTTCTCTCAGGCCCACCTACCTCACAGAGTATCTGTTGTGGGGAAGGGAAGGGAAAGGAGTTTGTAAGCTGCTCTGAGACTCCTTTGGGTAGTGAAGGGCGGGGTATAAATCCAATCTCTTCTTCTTCTCTTCTAATTGCTACGAGATGCAGCCTTTCACATACTGGACTATTCAGCAGGCAGAAGAGGCTTCCCTTGCTCTTTATTCCTCCCCATATTCCAGGTCTCCAGGACAGTGAAGGGTGGAATCCTGATTCTGCAATCACAAAAACACAGCTCTGCAATGAAGCAAATGACACCTGCTGGGAAACGGCTCCCCAGTTTTTGGAGGGATGGAAGGTTATCGGGAATGAAAGAAATGGATTGTGGAGGCAGGGAGTGGAGGCAGGGAGAAGAGGAGCAGATCTGCAAAGGCAAGCAAATGAGGATAACTGACACAAATATACTGTAGCCTCCTGAATCAAGGAAATCGCCATCTCTGTTATTAAATCAATTGAAACAAACCTCATGAAAGGGAGAAACATGATCATCCTCCCCCCAAAAACCCCTGCTACTTCTGCTTTTCACTTTATTAAGGACTAGCAAAACATTATGTCAGGCTAATCTAGCCTATAGGGCATGTCGTGTAGATAAAATGGAGGAGAGGAGAATCCTGTAAGCTACTTTGAATCTCCATTGGGGAACTAAGATATAAATGAAATAAACGATAAATAAAATGCCTTTTGCTTCTGAAAGGTAACTTCAGGAAGGGGGGGATTAGTAGCAGAGGGGAAGGGAGTATTGAACCATATCCCCCCAACCCACAATTGTTATTTGTCTTCCAAATCCCCCCCTCCACACTCTTCCTGTTGCAGAGAAGCTACAGGCAGGGAAACAGTTAAGCACTCCCCCTCCCCCACTTTCCTTAAAGAAACAGGTACCAGCAAGAGCCTCTCTCTGACGCAGGTATTTAATAGTCACATAAAAGGCGTTTAAGCTAAAGAGATGTTTGTAATACTTGCATTGGGAAATAACAGAGAATTTTACATGGGATCCAGAACACAACATTTCTGGAAAGCTGAGGACAATAACACTCATGGAAATGATGGCATAAACACCGCCATTCTCATTTTCCATGCCTAGTAAAATCCCGTGTGGGACTAGGGCTGCCAGCTCCTGCTTGGCAAATTCCTGGAAATGTGGGTGCGGTGCCTGCAAATGGACTGCCCACCCTTTGAAGCTGCCAGTTCCCTCCGGGGAAATTGATCTCTCCCCGTCTGGTGATCACCTGGAATTCCAGGAGAACCCCAGGCCCCTCGTGCAGGTCGCCACTCCTCTGTGGGGCACCGCT